GTTGTTATATATTAGTGTAGTGTTTCATGGGAGAGTTAAACTATGTGCTAATGATGGAATATTATTTTACGTAGCAAAAGTTTAGCAAGTGTTTTTCATTGCTACTTGAGGTTTTCGTTACAAAAGATGATGTCCTTTTACCATTACAGGTGCAGTGGCATTCAAACATGTTTGAGGTAGACTTAAATTCACAGTTTACTGGGGATTTTTTCTAATATACAATGTTTACTTAATCTCGTACAAAATTTTCTTTTCTTGAACAAATACTTTTTACAGTTAGGAAATAAGCTGATATCACTTTACAACTACGGATAATAATATTAGACATTAATCTTTCTAGTCTGAAACCTCTAATTTCAAATCCATGGGGAAAACAATGAGTAAACATTCTACGATCTCTCCAACGAATTCATGTCAATTCACAGATAATAAAGAAAGCGAACTCGAGCTGAGTCATATTCTCATGCCCACTGAAAGGAAGTGGCATTGACAAAATATTTGAGTGTGACTAGATGTCAAGTTACAACAACTCTGATCAATTATCCAGCACTTTCCGCAGTATTTCTAAGTAGTGCTGTTTTCTTGATGGTTTCATTACTTTCTAAACGGGTTTTGAGAATTTTGTGATGTCGACGAACACTCGTTACCACTTTTCTAATGCCAACGAATACTCGTTGTCATTTTCTTAATGCTCGTTGTAGTAGAGACTTTGTAATCGCAGATACAAGTATAGTAACGCCATTGAACAATACTGATGTCAGACGCCTTCGAATAACACTCGCACTTATAGTACTTGCTCGATAATACTCGCTCGAAAAGTAACCACCGAATAGTGATCCAAATAGAAAACTAGTATAGTGAATAAAGTAGAGAATAGCGGTCCGTATAGTAATAGAGGATAGACTAGAAATAGCAGACATCACGCGACTTCCTACATATATGCGTTTCCTCTATGGTCACATGGTCTACTCAGTTCAATAATGTGATCGCCTATGTTTGCCCATTGGCTATCTATGTTCAAACTCAAGTGTCAGCAACGACACTTTATTCCACTATAACAGAGATGTTTATGAGTCTTCTAATAATGATAGACAATACCTATCTTTTAAATCCACAAATTGAGAACATTGCAATTTTTCTTGGCAGAATCTACCTTAAATATTTATAAGTCTATTATTCGTCCTTGTTTTGAATATTACTGCCACATCTGCTTTTGTGATCCTGCTATATATTTATAGATTCTCGATAAAACCCAAAGAATCTGCAATGTTATTGGTACTGACTTAGCATCTCGCTTTCAGTCACTTTCCTACTGCCGATATGTAGCTTCCCTGTGCGTTTTCTATAAATAATTTCATGGTAATTATTCTTAAAATCTTTCCTTATGGTTTCTAGTCTTTCTGAATTTACGCGTCGTACTAGATTGGCAGAAAGACCTAATCATTTTAGAGTTGAAATGGCTAGAGATAACCTTAAGTTCCATGCAAATAGATTCTTCAATCGCACTTCTCTCTTGTGAAGATCTTCCAGCTTCTTGCTTCCTAGATAACTTTGATCGTCAAAAATTTAAATGCCATTTCAATCGTTAATTATTATCTTAATTCTTGTTTTTTTAATGTTTTCTCTCCTTCATAATGATTTTTTTCTCATATTCTATAACACACGGTAACCGCTTGTGTCTTAGTGGCTTCAGGGATTTGCTTGTGGTAAAAATATTAAAATAAACACTAAGTGTAGCTTAGATTTGGAATCAGGCTACAAGTGAAGTGAGGATTGAAACCACACGTAATGTTCTCCAAGGCTTGTTTACCATTACAGAACGATAAGGCGTCCATATTTATATAGGATTTTGTTATATACTTAGTGAAGATCGAACATATTAGTAATTGGCTTAAACGCCGCCCTATCGGGTAGCATTTAAGCTAGCTTCTCCGAAGAGCTCTTGGTTGGGCCTTCATCACAATAAGCCGTGAGGAGAAGTTCCGATAGTCAATAATAAACTACAGAACTCAAAACTGATCGCTGTATTGCATTAATATTTAAGTTTACATTTTAAATTCTTCTGTCGCCACTTAATTTAAAGACAATTTGATGTACGTAGGTCCTTACATTCCGTACAAACAATTATTTTTATTTCATGGGTGACTTTCGCTGGATTTCGCAATTAATTTCGATTACTTCCAAATTTATTTCCAATGTATAAAAATTATCATAAAAAAATCGTCGCAAAAATCACGTAAAAATCCCCCAAAACAATCGAAGTAATGAAAACTTGGGAATCTAAAATTTCACGATTACGGGTCCAGATCCGGCCTGGACTGTTTTTAATTTGCTCTCGGAGTTGGTCTGATTCCAAAATTGTATGTGTTGACCGAGAGCCTCTAGACGTAAAGTTAAAAACACGGAACATTTTATTTTAAAACACTGTAATTTGAGAACAGTATTTTTTTTCATTTGAACATGAGCTATTGAAAGTTAGTGTTATGTTCCTTTAAGTTGAAAAAGCGTGACACTGACACACTGACATTCGCATTTATTATATAGATGATCTCCAAGTTCAGATTGTTGACCATTACAATACAATAAATCGTCCATGTTTATTACTCTCCACTGATTTCACCTATTGATCTGCTAAAAAAAAAAGAACGATTGACTTTTTAACTTTAACTATGACGGTATATGATAATTTTCCAGTGAGTATATAATCATAATTGGGTGACTATATATAAAGATAGATATGGTTGATTTTCAAAGTCTTGAATAATACTCTGTAACATCCTCAAGTTTACACTTAGAGCACTTGTTAGCAAAATCAAACCGAAATTATTTGAATCGTTCATGAGGATCAATGTTTCTACCCAGTGATGTTATTTTGTAGTCCAACTGAAGTCGCAAAAACGCCATTTTGTTTTTTTTTCTAATGTTTTTGAAAATTAATTCACTCTAATTAACTCTCCACAACTTTTTGTCTTTTGTTGGTCAACGCAACATTTGATTCATTATTATCCCTCTTAGTACCGTTTCTGCCTTCCAATCACCCTAACTTATTAGATAGGTTGCCCTCTGTTTCTCTTTGCCTCATTACCTTCAACATGTCTTATTAATGCTAAATTTTCCGAACCTTCTTTCCGCATAATGTATCCTAAAAATTTCAACTCAATTTCGTTTCGTTTCGTTTGTTTTGCTGCATATCAACTTCATTGGGTTATTTAATGCCGACAAGATTTTTATTGCTGGTAATATTTTTTCCAAAAATGTATTGTTGGTAATATTTTTTCAAAAATGTATTGCTGGCAATACTTTTTTTTCAAAAACATATTGCTGATAATATTTTTTTCAAAAAATGTATTGCAGGTAATAATTTTTCAAACAAAAGTATTGCGGGTATTAAAACCTATTTTTATACTTTCATAGTGTTTTGAACCCTTTTGGGATTAACTATTTGCCCATAGCCGGGACCCTAACAGGTGCTACAACCCCAGGTCAGAGTGGAGAGGGGAACACCAGCAATTAAGAGATAGTTTCACGCTTCTCAAAATCTCTTGATCAATGGCCTTGCTGTCGGATGCAGTTGATCGTCTGACCCAGGACCCGGATGTAGTTTATCGTCATACCCAAGACGGAAATCTATTTCGGATTCCAATTATGTTTGTTTTTAGTTTCCCATGTTATTAAAATTTTCTCATTGTTCACGTGTTCTCAGCCTCTCTGTATAAAACCACATCTTTATCGTTTCGAGCATTTCTTTCTCTTTCACGGCACAGATTAAGAAGAAATTTGAGCCAATAGAAATATGGTTCTACAGAAGGATGTTGAGAATGGACTGAACATGGGAGCAACGACGAAGCTTTAGAGAAAATGGAAACAAAATTAAAACATATACTTAACATCAGAAATAGAGAATTGAAATTTCTGGGGAATATAATGAAGAAAGAGGGCATGTAAAATTTAACACACACACGACATATCAAAGGCGAGGGCAGAGCAAAACCTACCTAACTAGCTTGTGTAAATGGATGACAAAACAGGGTTTGGGAGAGATAGCAAAAATATAAAATTTACTAAGAGCTACAAAGACAGGAAATTGTGGAGTGCCATGATCGCCAACGTCCTGAAAGAGCAAGGCAGATAGAAGAAAAAATCGCTCTAATACACACGTTATAAGCTACTTTTATTATAGGCTATGATTCTCTTTTCAAGTGCCCTTTGCGCAAATATATCCCAGTCATTTCAGGTATAATTTATATATAGTGTCTTTTATATATCTCATGAAGCTGTTTTATCTTCCATACTTGACATCTATCATATTTCTTTGTTATATTTGTTACTCTTTTGTCATGTTATTGTAGTTTCTGGCTGCCATAATGTTTCTCTTATTGTTGTTGCTTCTTATCTTACAGTTCGGCTTTTGTAGCATTTATGTCTCTAATCCTGTGAATACAATGGCAGTGCATCGTTTCAGACACCGATCAACTAGAGTCAGGTCCGAAGTTTCATTCTTGAAAACTTACCTAGAAACAGAGAAATAACAGTCACACACGTCCTGACTGCAGGATACGATCGATGGTCAGCCTCGGTGGTCAGCATTTGCTCTGATGGCGTGCACTTATTGTGCAACGAAAAATCCATATGTTTATCTTGATAGACATGAGAGTTTGTGCATTGAATAAAGAATTCACAGTGCAACTGAACAGTGTCTTTCTTTAGAAAATGGCTGAATATTTGGAGAAAAAAGAGAAGCAAGTGGGCGATGCTTGGGTGAAATGAACAAGACTTTGGAATTAAAGATGAAAAAAGACGGAGGACTGAAAAAGAAAAAGGTCGGGAATAAGAGAAGAAAAACAAAATCGACTTAAGAACGACTGGGAGAACAATGGATGGGGGGGAATAATAAAAGATAATCTTCAGAAAAATAACGAAAATATTTAGGAGCAAGGAAGTGCAGGATAGAAAGAAGATGAAGGAATGAATGAAGAGTAGCAGGAAGGGAATTAAAAAGGCTAAGAAGTGAATGAGAAAGGAAAGGAGAGGAGAAAATAACGAAGGAAATTGTGAGAATGAAAAAGGAAAGGAAAACAATGAAGAAAGAAAGAAAGAGATGAGAATGAAGAAAAGGAAGACAATGAAAAAGGAAATGAAGAAAGAATTGTTAGGAACAAAAAGAAAAGGAACCCAAAAACGAAGAAGGAGAGTTCCCACTGAAGAAGGAATGGATGGGGTAAAGAAGGAAGGAAAACTGAGGAGAAGAAAGAAAGAAAGAAAGAAAGATGTAGAAGGAAAATGAGAAAGAGGTGGTGGTTGAGGAGAAGGAGGGAAAGTGATGAGGAGAAGGAAGGAAGGAAGGAAGGAAGGAAGGAAGGAAGGAAGGAAGGAAGGAAAGTGAGGTGGAGGAGAAGGAAGGAAAGTGAGGTGGAGGAGAAGGAAGGAAGGAAGGAAGGAAGGTGAGGTGGAGGAGAAGGAAGTAAAGGGGAAGGAAGATGAGGTGAATCATAATTATGAAGAATCTTGTTAACACAGAATTTACTGACAATGATCATTACTAATAGCTAACTCTTTGCATTCTCGTGCATACAGATTGATATGGACAACGAAAGAAAGATAAAAACAGAGATAAAAAAAAAATGTACAGAAAAATTAGAAGCTAGTCGTTTTAGAAAAATAAAAAAAAAACGAAATAGAAGGACTGAATATTTAAAGGGGAGGCCAAAGTAATTAGACATCGAAAGAAAGCTTAAATCGTACAAAAGCTCAAAAGAAATAAATGTCAGGAAGAAAGAATCTTGTAAAAACCTAGTTTTAAAACAAATCATGTGGATAAATAATAAAGAATTCAAAAAAGTTTCCTGAAGCCCATCACAATAATTTTTCAAAGACGCCATTTTAGAGAGAGATTCTGTGTTCATAAACGTAGGCTGCTTTGATATAAAAACGACAAAAATTGCCGACGGTATGCGAGTGTAAGATTTTGCATGTAGATTTGATGTTTTTTTTCTTTTTCTATTCTCTTTTGTTAATTTTTCATCTCAGTTTCATAACCATTTTTCTTCAGTCATTTTACTTTTTTTTCTATCTACATGCTTTATTTATCTCTATACATGTACGTATTAGTGCTACATTTTGTCAGCCATATTTGTTTCTTTTCTCGAAGAGCAAACGAAAATTCCTCTTATACTTTAAAATCAAAAAGGGAGTGCTGAAATTTTCTCGGCTGACCAAGAGGAGAACGACTGCAAGCCTTGAAATGGGGATTCCATGTTATATATTCACTTTGTAGTCCAATATATTTGGCACATGGTTTCCAAAGAATAGCATATGTAACTCGAAAAGTAATTAATGGCATAATCAAGATGTTGACATTACACTCTTACTTCAAACAAAATGTAGGGAAGAAAACCCCCATTGATACTGGAAAGTAAATTTAAATGGACGATCTAATATCGCGCTTAAATTCATGAATTCGAGGTACCAAAGGGAAAAGTTCAAAGAATCACTATACGGCGATGTAAAAGAGACGGAAGACGACTTGACAGGTTAGAACATAAAACATTGAAGATTTTATTTGGATTTTATCAAAAATCTTTAAATACATAACAGAAGCACAAGACAAGATGTGACAGCATTATTCAGTGCATAGACGAATAGTAGAACGTCGGTGATCATAGTTCTCCACAGCTTCCTGTTGAACAAATAACTTTTGACATTTTACCACCCCTATTTATCCTTGTTCTGCTATCCATTCACGCAATCTCTTAAAGTAGTTTAATCTCTGTTTCTTTTGTCTTACCCCCGTAGAAAAGGATGGATACAACCAATGATTTGGAAAGTATGAACTTGATCTAGAAGCTGATATTGCTCTTCCATATCTTTTCCAAGGACACCTCGAGGCGGTGTAATGGTTAGCAAGCTTGTCACGCTAGATCAATTACGACTGAGTAGTGAGTTCGATTCTCACTGGGTGCCTCATACTTTCGGCCTTGTGCCACATCTAAGCTACGCTTGGAAAATCTCCATATCCTTTCCAATTTGGCCATCGCTGGGGCTGTGGCAATCTGTGTCCGGATTTCTGCATTGCAGGTGCCATCTTTTAGCTGGGTTGCTCCCAAGTATTTGAAAATGGATACTTCTTCCAGTGGTTCACCGTCCATTGTGATTCTCGAACTGATGTTGCTTATGCTATTCACAATACAAAAATATTATTATAAGATATATGCTAGATTTGATAAAAATAGAAAGATTAATAATGTGTTGTGATAATTTTAAAAAAATGCCCGGTAAAGTGGATTGTACGAAATTAATGAAACTCTATGTAATAAAATGAGTTGAAAAAATGATGGGCTGGAGAGGTATAAATTTTGAGTCATAATTTTGGGGAGACTAACATTTGTCCATGTCTTTACAAACTTCAATTTTTAGACCAGATATATCTCAATAATTTGGTTTATTTAGAGTAATATAATATTAATAACATGACAAACAAACAGATTACAGAGAAACCCTTCAAGAGAACGAAGGATACATTTCGTTCAGTAGATTCGGAATCGTATTATAGTGAGCCGACTTCAAGAAATTCCGTTTCCTTGTTCAATCTGTATACGACATACTACCAAGTCCGGCAAATATATATATATATATATATATATATATATATATGGGGTAAACGCGAGACTCCAAAAGGTACACATTGCCTAAATGATCGCTTCAACATAGATGAAGCAGATGGTCAAGGCTTTTTCCGATGGACGTTATCAGTGGAGAAACGAGTAATTGTTAAAAGCAATAGTCGATATAGCTACCACGGCCATCCGAACGAACAGATAATAACTATCAAAGAAAGCAAATATTGTCAGAGCAAGAACAAATAATCAAGAAGACAGAAGAGGAAAAACAGAGTTTAATATCGCCAGCTCCAGACTGCCAGCTGGAAGCGGATTAAAAAAAAATCAATTAAAATTCCGTAAACAAATTGCTTCATCAGTATTTCGCTCAGACCTAATAATCATCACCAACAGCACTGAACAAATGGGAACTGATCGCGCTTTGGGAAGAGTTCATGACACTTGCTAAAAAAAAAAGCAAACTTGAGAAATAGAAACAAATGATTGAACAGTGCGAAAAAAAACGGTTAGAATCAATCGTGACAAGATGTAGAGGATTCATAATGGTAACCGTAATATTAACCGTTTCCTTATAAGGAAACTGTTGTGTCGAAAACCTACCACCCCTCTTGAAGATGAACTTGTCTGCGTCTGTGAACAGAGACTTTAAATAATGGGAAGACAGGTAGACAGAGAAGTTCTTAGCTGAGCTAGTTATTGACTACTCAGGCGATTTCTGTACCTTTTTTACCAACCTATTAAAACCCTTTTTATTGTTAAGTCTTATTTGGCGTTTGCCTCTACTAACCCCAAATCAACATCATAACAGAAACATTCCTCATTTATTGACCGAGCAGTCAGTACTGCTGACGGTTGAAATCGTTCTCTTAAAAAAAATATTATTCAAGAAAATAGGATCCTCACATACAGTAGCTTTTATCACTCTTTCCAATATTGATGGGGGTTTCCTTCCTAATCTTTTGTTTGAAGTAGTGTGGGAAGTCAGCATCTTGATTATTTCATTCTTTTCTCTTCGTGTTACATGTGATATAAATTTTATATGGTGTGGGTCTTGAAAGTATTCAAGTGATGTCCTTCCTGTTATTTCGTGCAGTTCTTCCATTTTGATTCTGTAGTGCCAGTCCACAAGTTCCGAAGAAAATACGCATAGGCTTCACTCGCTTCAAGTCAGTTTTAACCATTGACTTGAGAAAGCTGTTGCTGCATACAGATGACAGTTTAGATATATCTATGAGGGGTTTTTTTTGCGGGATGTCTGATATCCATATGAAAGTCTCGATCTGTCGAGATTATTTCCGAAACAGGACTTGAGTTTTTGAAGTGTTTTTGTGCTAGGATGAATAAAGTGAAAGCACTGAAAGAAATCATCGAAGCTGCTGAAAAATCCTCTAGATGGATCGAGCTCAAAAGATCTCAGACATGGATTAAAGCAGAATAGGAGAAAAGAAAACAAACATCAAGGAAAAAAAAGAAAAACAAACGATATTTCTATATTAATTGAAAATTAAATAAAACCTCATGCCAAGAAAATGTATCTTATAAAGGAATAATATATAAATATAGGTATAAAATCTGGACAAACTAGAATCAGGGGTTTCTTATTTTTTAAAGACAGTCTTAACAAGTTAGACTCTTGTAAACCGTTAGAATGAATTATTTTCTCAATTAAAGCAGAGGCTAACGAGATTTTATAAATTTATTTTAGTTTTTTTTTTAATTTTAACATAAAACCGTTAAATAAATTATTTTCTCAATTAAAACAGAGGCTAACGAGATTTTATAAATTTATTTAGTTTTCTTTTTCATTTTTAATAAGAAACCCGTTAAATAAATTCTTTTCTCAATCAAAGCAGAGACTAAGGAGATTTTGTAAAATTATTTTAGTTTTTTTCCATTTTTTATAGGAAAAGCGTTAGAATAAATTATTTTCTTAAGTAAAACAAAGGCTAACGAGATTTTATAAATTTATTTTAGTTTTTCATTCTTCAACAGATCTATGGAAATAACGAGATGGGGTTGAATATTATATCATATACAATATTGGAATTTCCACAGGTATTATAGTCGTGGAACTAGCAAAGTTTTTATTCAATCATTAAATTAAATATTATGCTTCATCAGAAAATTCAAATAGCAAAATCTTGAAATTTCCATGGCTGATGCTACTTTATATAATATTTGCAAGTAACTTCTAAAACAAATTTGAAAAAATATATTTAAATTGGCAGAATATTTAAACCTTTTGAGCAATAATTGATGTTTATCCATTGTTTCCAATTTAGGATTCGTTTTCCGCTTCCCTCTATAGTGTATTTAAACGCTATACTTGTAAAGTCTCCGTCTAAACAGACATTTTTTAACTATTTTTTTTCAATAGCAGTAGCCTATCATCTTGTAGAGACACCACCCCGGATTTTTGAACAGGAGTCAAAGTTCATCCTTTGTTTCATATTAGCTGTCATGTTCCATATAAAGTCTCTATATAGCCCTGTGCAAATTAATTGAAACAAAACGAATAATTCTGTTATCATTTACTTTTACTTCCTATTTTTTCAATAAACCATGACCCTGTGCACATGTTAGTACTTCGTATGTCCATTCCATGGAGTTATTCCTTGCATATTGGCGACAGATTCTCGACTGGATTTGAATCAAGAGAGTTTCTGGGCTAGTCTACAATACTTTCATTTGCTCACTGGTAAGATTTGCAAGTGTGTTCGTGCAGCTTTACAATTTTTGTACGCTTTTTTTTGGAGCATCGTCCATCGCAGGCAGTGGTCGTAGGACAATTAATCGACAATCGAGACAATAGTGTTTCGGCGTGATGAAAAATCTGATGTTATCACAGATGACACAATATTTTTCAAGGCTAAACAAATTTCATCATACACCCCGAAAATAGATTCATGCAAATGACCTCA